AAAAAACAGCATGTGTCCATATAAGAAATAACCTATTGTAGAAGAAAAACCGGTGATAAAAGGATTCTTGCTCTGGGTTTCTCTTTACAACTTTTTACTTTTTGACCAGTCTGAACTGGTAAGAAAAAAAACCATCAGATCAGACCTGTTGTTTTAGGGAATTTTCTATCTTCATCCTTCCATCCTTCCTTTTGGGAGAAACATGTTTCTCTTTACAATTTTTTACTTTTTGACCAGTAATTCAGGATAGATGACATAAGATAAACTCAATACAGAAAGTCAAACAGAAAAAAATTCCCCAAAATTCAAAAACAATGGGTTGATCATTTAAAAAGTGAACAGCCCTTATTTGGTGTGTATATCACCATCAATTGTTTAGATTTGAGCTTTATATCTTGTTATAATTCCATGTTCACAAGGAGTCATTTCCTCATGAAAACATGTTTGTGACAACCTCAGATCTCCATGGCAACCATTTGGTAGTGCTTCAATGCTTCCTCATACAACGCGCCGCCCATTTATACAAAGCTCCGTCTTGGAGCAGCAGTCCCCTGCTGAGTGCCTGCCCCGCAGAGCACCCCTTCTCTGCTCCTCCCCATCAGACTAAATATTAGTCTGTCAAACCTGGGTCCATTGCATGCATCTGACCTACTAGGCCATAAGCTCAGTTAGAAAATACCAGGCCTTGCCAGTAGGTGGTCCTTTACAAATGAAACTGAATTATAAACACCAAATAATGTGGAAAAACATTTCACAAATCAGGATATTGAAATAAAGATAAACATAAGTATTCATAGATGTTTTGATGGTGCCTGGAACCGTTTGTTCTATGTCGTCTGGATTTCATTCCAGAGATATGTTGCATTTTATGAATGAAATGTACACCTCGATCAAGGTTTTTATTTTTTGGCAAGAGTGCCTTTGGGTTTTTTTTTTCTTCTTTTTGCAAATGTATATCCCCAAACAGAGAGAACCCTTGTAACATGTTAAACAATCTTACATCCAAATTTCAATACACAAATAGACTTTAAAAGTCACAAATATAACTGTTTTAGGAAATTTATGAAATGGATACTCACCATTTATCTGAGTCTCATGAAGGCCAATAAGCTGTCTTCAACCATTTATGTAAGTTACAATTCCTGCAAGCTAGCAGAAACAAAGCTGTAAATGTGTACACTTTTCATATAGGCAAACAAATAGTTTTAGTCAGCTCTCAAAATTCTGTCAGTGAACATATCAGTGACTCAAAATAATAAGTTATTGTTTCTCTATGTACAGATAAGACAGTCAAATAGATTAGTCATGGGAAGAGATTTTACAAAATTCACATTTACACTTTTGCTGTAATTTATTGACAGACCATGCCATAGTGATTCAGAAAGAAAGACAGAAATGCAGAGAAAAAAAAGTAGAAAAGGAACCATAATCCTATGGTTCCTTTTCTACCATAGGATTATCTCCTCATGGAAAACTGTACAGTGCTGTAGAAATTACATTACATTTTAATTTCCATCGTCATCACAACAAACATTCCTCAGTGGGGTTAAGGAATGAAAACTAGGGTGGGAGGATCTCCATCAGCATCTTGTTGTGGGTCGAAAACCATGTCCTGATGTTGGATTGATGGAAACTGGCAGATGTCCTCAGCCTCTTCTGACTCTTCTTCCGTTTTCCTCCCAACTATTTCCTCCTCAGCCTCACTCCTCTTCTTCTCTCTGGCTGTTCACTCGGTCCAGATACTTGTTCATCAGTTCTCAGAAATGTAACATTGTGTTACATTGTGTTCTGGCTACATGCACCATATTGTTGCCAACTGATGGCTCACAAGATGCACCTTCAATCTGTTTCAGAAAACTTCTTGATCATTGGTTGAGCTAATGGCTCAGACGTTTACCTGTTAGAGAAACTCAGGACTCACTTGAGAACAATTTACCAATTCAGGACAAATATAAAAAAAAAATCTAATATAAATAAATTAAAATATGAACTTCAATACTTATGCATGTTAAGACTTACGCAATGAACTTATGCTGTTTTGGAAGTTGAGACAATTTAACAGAGCAACGTTCAACACATTTTGATCAACACGATTAAAGCTAATTAAAATGGGGGAAAAAGCAGAGAATTGCACATAATCAGTTGCATAATGTACAAAAGCATTCGCAACTTGCTCAAAGGAATGATACATTCCTTTTTTGATGTGCAGAAGTGACACAGTAATTTGAAGATTGAACAAGCAGTTTTAAGAATTTAATTTCTTTTCTGAGAAATGCACCCAAACTGAGAAACTTGTGTAAATTGTAAATTGCATACATTTAAAGACACAAATCTAAATAATTACTTGCTTTATAAAAATTAGACCTACACAGACGGGGCGAGCAAATTAAGCAGCCACTTAGGGCCCAAGGGCCACGAAGGGGCCCCCTCAGTTGAGATGAAAATTTTGTTTTGTATCAATTTCTATGTCATTATAACAAGAAAAACACACAATTTCATTATGAAGTGATTTTTTTTACAATATAATATATTTGATAATATAATAATAGAAATAATAATAGAAATTATTATTTTAAGTTAGCAAAATAATGTTGCAAAAAAAGGTCTTATTCTTCAGGAAGAGAGAAAATAAAGAGGAGGAATAGAAAAAAGCCACGATAAAGGTATGTTTTCATGCATCTTGGTAATGTAATGTTTATCAAAAAGATTTGTGCTTGATAGTGACCTGGAATGGTCCAGTTCAACATCCGAACATTTATGCTAGTGTCTTTGAGTTTGTGTGGAACTTAGTTTTAACTTTAAATGAGTTGATTGATGGTTGGCTCTGTATATTTCTGAGGGTTTTTTTGTCTTCAAAATAGTGTGTTTGATAAAGTTAGATAACAATAATTAAAACTTCTTGATGTTTGACATTGTCTAGCAAAATGTTTTTACATTAGGCTACGTGACTACTTTGTTAATAAATCAATGAGCTACTCTAAGTTGTTTTTGGTGATATGTTGTTTGCTGCTGAGCATGATAATTTGTGACTAAATCAAATATTATTTTTACATCAGCTTCTAAGACATGTGAAACTTTCGCAAAAATTATTTGGAAGCTCAGAATCAGCCCAGTACCAATCCACAATCTCAGGGGAGAAAGACTCACCTGGAGTAAATAAAATTTTTAGCTATTGGAGTTACGCTGAAGAGAATTTAATTTAACCAAAGTATGTCATGAATATGTGTGTTTGTATTCCATCTTAAGTAGGGATGCAGTGTTTGCAGTTTTCTGGCTGATCGCCTATTACCGATCTTTAAAAAGCCTGACCTGCCGATTTTGATTTTGGCCTATACCAATTGTTTTAGTCTGAAATGTTGCTGAATATAGCAAGAAAGTCACTGAGTTTGCCACAGTGGGGTGAATATTGTTAACAGCAAACATGCAGACATGACCTGGTGGGCCGTTCTGTCAGTCAAACCTCTCACTGTAGAGCAGAAGAGGACAGAAGCTGTTATTTAAACCTTTGCTGAGGAAGACAAGATCAGGGGATAAGATCAATAAAAAGTCCCAACTTTGTATGATTTCGCAAACAATGTCACTTTAGTGCAGAGTTGACCCTTTTAATGGTCTTTCAATGCAACCTTCAGAGCAACTTTGCATTAAAAGTGTCATTATTTACCTAATGACATTTCATGACAACAGTCATAGACGTTCATAAAGACCTTTTTTATGTTCGTGACAGGTGTTATGTCATGTTTAACACAGTGTCATGTCAGTCTTATGCACACCCCATTAAATAAATTGTTATCCTCTTTTCTTTTAACTGCCTTTTTTTTAGGTTTTACCCCTTCAGATTCTTAGGAATCGCCCTTTAGTCATTTCCCGAATCTGAAATTGGTTTCCGATTGCAGCTTCGTGTCTCTTAGGATAATATCCTCATCTGAGACATGTCTAAACCATAATCGTTGTAAATCATTCTCTATGTCTTTTGCTTAGAGTCCACTACCGCTCTCTGCACTGCAGAAACTGTAAAAAGAAGCTTTTTCACCCAAAAAAGGAGTGCACAATTTTTCAAAAAGTGTCTCAGGAACTCGAGGAAATAAGTCAGGATTGCTTCTTTTTTTTTTCTCCAGATCCCCTTACGGGCTCCGTAGCTTAGGTTTCACACTGAGTACAATTATGTACACCAAGTACTTTCAAATAGTAACAAAACAGCATTTCTTTCAACTTCCTGATTTTTTTTTTAGAAAATGCTACATCTAGCTTTCACAGAGCAATGAAATAATAGCAAAACTTAAATCCTGTTGCCTGGATAATATGGTAGTTTTGAAGCCATATAAGCACTGAGCGATGGCTTTCGTTCCCTGTCTCCGTTACCGCTGAAGTCAAAGTCATGCTGCTTTTTTTTTTTTTTACATCAAAATAAGACAAAAAAAAACTATATCCAATATCGTGTGCATTAAAAAATACGATTTCTGTATGATTCCTTGTGAAAAATAAATACTAAGTATATTAAATCTTAACATACTTGAAGCCAGACTAATAATCAGTATACTTTGTTTGTTAAGAATTTAAGTTGAAGTGTTATTTTGTGCTTAGTGTATTTTAATTGTAATTAAATTGCAGAAAATCACAATTTGAAGTGTACTAAGTGTACTATCACATGCCTTTTTGTAACAACTAAAGTTATACGTTGCACACAGCTTTTTTTGTAATATGAACGTGGTTGGTTAGTATATCTTAAGTGTACTATTTTTGTAATGAATTACATTTGAAATATATTTAGAATGTCTTCTAAGTATATAACTATTACATATTTTATTTATTAGTACTGTGATCACAGTACGCTCCAATTACACTTTTGGTTTACTATAACTGCTAATGAAGTACACTTTTCAGTTAAAGGTAAAAGGTTAAGGTAATTTTATTTATATAGCAAATTTTCAGCAACAAGGCAATACAAAGTGCTTTACAGGAATTAAAAGGAAATATAAACAAAATAATAAACCAAAGGAAAAAGCAAAAGAAGAAAAATAATCTAATGTTGATCCAAAGTATGTAAACTAGGTGCTGCTGTTCAGGATTGCTAGATAATTCTAATTGTTTTCCTGGGTTGGAAGAATAAGAGTCTAAAAAGTAATTGCTAATGTAGTTTTTCTGGATTCTAAGTTTGTTCTAATCCCTGTTCTGGGTTGCTAAATAAGTGTAAGTAAGTATTCTGGAAAGTTACTTAATGTCTTTTATTATTCTGCTTTGCCACTTTCTGCATTACATGCTTCGTACACACTACAGTACTGCAAACACATTAGGCTACCAGAACACAGAAGGATCAATTACAACACACTTTCCAGGCAAAACAAATTACATTGTGCATTCAATATCTTCACATTTTTCAATAGTACATTGCCAAGATACTATCACAGAATTGTTCAAATTGTCAATATATTCAAAGTTTAAGAAGACAACATGCTTAAGAAAATTAGCACAATAAAACAATCGGTACATGTTAGAGGAAATGTGAAAAATATTTCACCAAGGACAGAGTTTTGTTTTAATTCAATGTCACAGTTTTCCAGTATTACTCCAAACAAACTGACATTTCTCCTTCCTAAGAACAGTGAGGATCAACAACAGAACATTCCCATTCACTGCAACACCACACTTTACAGAAATTTAAAAAAAAGAACAATAGAGCAATTA